CTCGATCCCAGGACCCTGGGATCATGACCTGAGCCGAAGGCAGACACTTAACGACTGAGCCACCCAAGTGCGCCTACTTCTTTCTTTTCAATATGATGTCTTTAATAACTTTTTCTTGACTTCTACTGGCTAGACACTCCCAGGCTATCATTGTAGAGACATGATGAGCATTTGCACCCTTAACTTTATTCCCAGTCCTAGAAGAATTCAGTCTTTTACCATTAGATCTATTTTTCTGAAAGAGTTTGTATAGGATTAGCATTTTTTTCCTTAGTGTTGATAACATTAATAAGTGAAGGCATCTGGGCATCAGGTTTTCGTTGCAGTAAGATTTCTAATTACTAATTCAATTTCTTCAGATTTTCTACTTCTTTGTGAGTCCCATTTGGTAACTTACATCTTTATAGGAATTTGTATATTCTATTTAAGTTACCTGTTCGGATAAAATTGTTCATAATATTCCTTTATCATCTTATTTGTAGCAATGCTCACTCTTTATTTCTAATTTTGGTAATTAGTGTTTTCTAGCCTTTTAGATCTTTTAGATCTTTTCAAAGAACCAACTTTCGTTCCCCCCCAATATATTTTTCTATTTCACTGATTTTTGCTAATATTTGTATTTTCCCTCCTTCTGACTGCCTTGTGTTTAATTTGCTCTTCTTCTTTTTTTATGCTTAGATTGTGGATTTGAGACCTCTTTTCTTTCCTAATGTTTTTAAAATTCTAAATTTGCCTCTAAGTACTTCACTGTCTTCATCACCTAATTATTGGTACGTTATATTTTGTTTTTATTCAGTTCAAGATATTTTCTAATTTCTCTTGTGATATATTCTTTGACCTTTGGTTATTTATAAGTGTGTTGTTTAATTCCCAAATATTTGGGATTTACTTAATTTCTTTCTGTTGATTATTAATTTAATTGCATTGTGGTTTGAAGTTTTTAAACTCAAAGACTTTTTCGTGGTTGAATTGGCCTGACCTGAAGAATGTTCTGTGTGCACTTAAAAAGAACGTGTATTCTGGGGGCGCCTGGGTGGCTCAGTTGGTTAAGCGACTGCCTTCAGCTCAGGTCATGATCCTGGAGTCCTGGGATCGAGTCCCGCGTAGGGCTCCCTGCTCGGCAGGGAGTCTGCCTTTCCCTCTCCCGCTCCTCCCTCTTGTGCTCTCTCTCTCTCTCACTCTCTCTCTCAAATAAATAAATAAAATCTTAAAAAAAAAAAAAAAAAACGTGTATTCTGTTATTGGTGGATTGAGTGCCCCTTAATTGTCAGTAAAATAAAATTGATAATGTTCAAGATTTCCATATCTTTACTGATTTCTCTACGTAGCTCTTTTTTCAGGAAGTAAGAGGCAGCTATTGAAAACTCCAAATAAAATTTTTCAATTGTCTCTTTTTCCTTTTATTCTTCTACTGTTGTTAGGTATCTTTACATTTGATTGTTCTACCTTCCTGATATATTTATATGTTTTTCTTTGTCTCTAGTAATATTTCTTATCTTAAACTCCAGCTCTCTTATGGTTACTATTTGCATGGTATATCTTCTCATCTTTCAGTTCAACCTATTTGTGACTTTGTTTTTTTGTTTGTTTTACCCTCTGAGCAGAGAGCCCGACATGGGGCTTGATCCCAGGACTCTGGGATCATGACCTGAGCTGAAGGTAGGCTCTTAACCAGCTGAGCCACCCAGGCGCCCCGACTTGTGACTTTGAATCTCAGGTGTTTCTTTTATAGATAACATATAGTTGGGTCTTTTTTTTTTTTTAATCCAGTCTGACCATCTCTTTTGAATAGATTGTTTATAGTCTTGTTCACATTTAATGTAATTATTGCTGTGGTTGGATTCATGTCTGCCATTTTGCTTTTTGTTTTCAGTTTGACTCAAGTATTTTTGTTCTCTGTCCCTCCTTTAACTGTTTTTTTTTTTTTTTTTTTTTGGTATGATGAGTGTTTTCCAGTTGTATCCTGGACATTCTGGGTGTTATATTGTGAGACTCATAATCATATTTCTTCTTTTTTAGTAGGCAGTCTCGTTTAGATGTAATGCATGGGATAGATGTTCAGCTCCCTGCCAGGCCCTGGCTCACACTATCTCCTTCCAGATGGATGGATGGGGTATAAAATCAGCTCTATACTGGGCTCTGCTGACATGTAGAGACCTGGGAAAGGGAGATGAGGTGCTCACTTCCCCTTGTGTCCTGCATTGTTGATGCTGGGTGGGGGTAGAGGCTCTATGACTTAATTTTAGCAGAATTAGGGTAATGAAGTTATATGCTTCACGTTTTCTTGGCAAGTAAAAACTTGACAAATCTCAACATGTTGTAAGTTGCATTAGCCATCTATATACTGGTGGTGTCCATCAGAACTAAGTCCCTCCTAATTAAGCCAAATATTATTTAAAAACTTCAAAAGCACCAGAGTGAGAAAAATGTTTTTAGTAGGCAAAAGTTATTTTGAAGAAGTCTATGTGTTTGTAAGAAACAAAGGAGATAATATGTATAGTTATTCAAATATTTTGATTAGGGATTTTTCTTTAAAATTCAGGGACTGAAACACCTTGGTCTTGCTAAAAGAGGATCCAGTTACAAGCTGCAACTCAGTTTTTGTGTCCTCTGGCAGGTTTAGAAGTACTTTGAAACCTCAACCAAAGGTTGACCAAAGAATTAATTTTGTGCCAATACCATTTGGGCCACAGCACTCCAGTTTTAGACCTGGAGGTAGTGTTGGGGCATTGAAATAAGAGGAGAGAGTGATAGGAGATAGTTGGCATACTCAGGGGTTATTGAATCCGTCTCCCTCTTTTCATCACTCTAGGAATGTACAGGTTGCTACATTAACTTTTATCTGTTAATGGAAGGAAGGGGCAGTCTCTATTGCCAGTTAGGGAAATAAATACAGGAATAGTGGGGGGAAAGGTAGTTTGTACATGTAGGATCAGCAAGACTTGGTAACAGATTATTGGTGAAGGTAGGAAATAAAACAGACGGAGGAACCCAAAATTACTCTTATATTTTTAGCTTTTATAACTGAAAGAATGGTGCCATTGACAAAAATAGGAAAGCTACCATGCATGTGGTATAGGAGAGATGATGATGCTTTAGTGTAATTGATTTTGAATTATTATTTTATTCAATTAGTTTATAGTAGATTCTATCTTTTTAAAGATTCTAAAAGCACCTTACAATTTTTTATAAAAGCTTTATCAGGACATAATTTACATACTATAAAATTTACCCATACTTGTGTAATTTATGTACAAGAAAACTCATCATATAATTCAAGAGTTTAGTATATTTACAGTCATGACATTATTACCACAGCCATCAGCACCATGTAATTTTAGAACATTTATATCACCCTAAAAGAAATCTCTTTCCCATTCCTACCTCCAGTCCTAGGCAGTGACTAATCTACTTTCCGCTCTGTGTCCTTTTCTAGACATTTCATATAAATGGAATCATATAATATGTGTGTTTTGGTGGCTGGCTTCTTTGAGCATGTTTTTGAGGCTCACTCATGCTCCTTGCACTTTTTACAATTAGTATATTCCTCTACTATTAGCTATGAAACTTAGTATACATGAATCATATGGGTAACTTGTGTGAAACCAGTCAGTGTAGGGAAAAGTTATATGTTGAAAGAAAGCTATCAGAAAGTGATTTTATTGATACTCATCTATAGAGGTTTTGTTTGCTAAGTATTTGCTAACCTAGAATATCTGTATATGATAGTTATCACAATTAAAATGGGAATGCTGAGATAGAGATTTATTATGAAGCATTTGTAATATTTAAGTTGGAAAGAGAGTGAACTCCCTTGGTTTCTTTTCTTTTTGAACTGTTAATAAGTTATTTACTAAATTGAGATTTTATTTCATTTTTGTCCAAATGAACATGGATTTTGACTAGAGAAATGATTATTTAGCCTATTAGTCTTGATTATCTTGATCAGAGCTAAATAGTTGATGTGAGTGACACACCTAAGTTATAAGTAGGGGAGATGAGAAAAGAGATGGAAAATGTATATATTGTCACTACAAAGTAGTTCGTCAATTCTGGTACAATAGAGATATATTTCAATATTTACGCCAGAACACACTTCATTTTATTGCCCTAACTTGATTAATGTAAAATGTGAAATTACTAACTCCTGGCCTTATTGAGACATTTAACTATGTGGATAAATCAAAGTATACTTTTGCTTACTTCATTGATTCCACTTAAAGTGTCTTAATTTGGGAACCACTCTGGTTAGAATTCAGTTAACTTCACATTTTTCATATGGCATCATATTTGAAATAAGTCAGTATCAATTGAAATAATCTAGACCAATCTGAAGAAAAAACTATGAAGTAGAAAATTTAAGTGTTTCCCTCCCTTGTCTTCTGCTCACCTTTTCTTTTGTATCCTTTCCACAGGAGCTTACAAAATACTGTCCTAAATTTCATAATGGATTCGTACTAAGTTATTAAGGATTTAAAGTATTGCTTTTTTCTGATGTATCATAGCTTGAAAAGAGGGCTACAGAGTGTACTGCTTAACTAAAAGGAATTAATTACTAATGGTAAAGTTTTGGGTGGTTTGTGGTAAGAAGGGAACTGGGATGTAGAAAACAAGGTATTTATCTCCTCATTCTGTCTCCTAGACAATACTTAATGATATGGTTATATTAGGGAGTTGGTCAAGTACTAGTGAAAACAGAAGAAACTACTGTAAACACAGATATTTGCTCATAGTTTTTGTATGAGACTAAAAGAGAAAAATAAGACATTTTAGGATTGGACAGTTGGCTTCATTTGGGTTTATTTAAAATTTGAAATTTCGGTTAATTTTGCTCGTTTTAGTGTCATTTTCTTTTTACGCACAAAGTAAAATGTGGATGATTTTAAAGATAATCTATGACACCTACGACGCCCCCCTCCCAGTTTAAATCTGTCCAAAAGGATCTCTATCTTATGACCTTGTGCTTAATAATGAATGTTACCCTTTTTGTTTTCTTCTAGGCTGTATTCATCACCAAAGAAAAAACTTACACCAATGCAGAAATCAGTTAGTCCATTAGTTTGGTGCAGGCAAGTTTTGGATTACCCAAGTCCTGATGTTGAATGTGCTAAAAAGTCTCTTATCCACAAACTTGATCAAACTATGTCAGGTATGTTTATAATTTTACTTGTAAATGCATCTCTTTTTTTAATCAAAAACCAGATAAATGTTGAGTGGGTATGTTTTTAGGAAGGCAATTCTTTGCTTGGTAGTGTTTTTTGAATCTCATTGTGCATGCCATCATGAGTTTTTGCCATATGCACATAACCCTGTGCTATTACTTAATAGCTTTTTTCCCCCAATCTTTTCATTTTTATTTCACTTCATCCTGAAAAATAATATCCATGGGGGCACCTGGGTGGGTCAGTTGGTTAAGCATTTGCCTTCGGCTCAGGTCATGGTCCTGGGGTCCTGGGATGGAGCCCCACATTAGGTTCCTTACTCAGCTGGGAGTCTGCTTCTCCCTCTGACCCTCCCTCCTCATGCATGTGCGCTCTCCCCCTCTCCCTCCTTCTCGCTCTCAAATGAATAAGTAAAATCTTAAAAATATAATATCCATGAAATAATGGGTTTTTGCAGCAGGGTTTTTTTTTCCCAGTGCAAGTTAAAACAAATAACTTTTAAAAAATAGGTTTGGTATCATCTAAAATCATCTCACTACCCTCGGGAAATTCTGATGTGGTAGAAAGGTACAGCTGGAGAACCTAAGAGACCTCATTCTCACTCTAGCACTTAGTTACTGAGTGACTCTCAGCATTATTTAACTTCTGTGAGCTCAGTTTTCTCATAAGAATGATGAACCTTGTACATTTATGTTAAGGACTAGATGATAGTGTTTTTGCAAGAGCCTAGCATGTTTCTCTGGCTCATAGTAGGTACTTAATAAATGTATTCACTTTCTTTCCCTTGTTTTTTGTTTCTAACTTGGCATTTTAGTTCAGATTGCTTTTATGCTCTTTTGTTTAATAGCACTCACAAAGCTGACAAAATGTGTCTGTCACTATTTATGGCATTTAATATAGCATGCCAGTGTGGGTAGAAATGTAGGAAAAATATTATTTACTCTTTCTTGGAATTTCAATCTCTTAAGAATGTTACTGTTTTTTGGAATACTTACGTAGTGAGGAATTGATGTGTGATTACTAATCCTAAATAGGTTTTCTGTTTTGCCTTGTATTTACTTGACAGCCATGTACTTAAAATCGCTTATTTTGCTTAATTATTAAAACTGTGCTACTATTAGAGTGTAAGCTGAAAATGTCGGGGGAGGCAAAGGGGAGACTAAACAGTCAAACTGGCATACGATGAAGCATAGTTTGGTAGGCTAGAAGTAGTGTTATTACATGTTATTACATGAAAATAACATATAAGATGTGATTACAGAGCTTCTGAATCTGTTTTGACACCAAATTGTTACTTTTTCCTCCCGTGGAGGATCCTTTTTGAAAAAGCAATCGCTTTTATGTAATTTTAAAAAATGTTTTTTCTCCCATCTAAGTATTAACCAGGCCTGACCATGCTTAGCTTCCAAGACCAGACAAGATCAGTATGTTCAGGTGGTATGGCCATAGACTAAAAATGTTTTTTCTGAATATTAAGTGTTTATAGAATTATATCCTGGAGCTTGACTTAAATTATACTTATAAGAGATGATTAGAAATATGTAGACAAGGTAGTAGACAATTTGAAATAACTGGAAAATTACTAACTTATTCCAGTTAGGTGATATTAAAGATTTATTTGAGAGAAGAGCGTATGTGTGTGCGTGTATGCACACATGTGTGAGCGGAGTGAGGAGAGAGAATCTCAAGCAGACTCCCCACTGAGCGTGGAGCCCAGTGCAGGGCTTGATCTCATGACCCTGAGATCATGACCTGAGCCAAAATCAAGAGTCGGATGTTTAACTGACTGAGCCACCAGGGTGCCCCTAGATGATATTATTTAGATGTTTATTAAAAACATCTTTAGGAACAATTTTCTAGTATTCTATCTCATCTTAGAAATACTGTAAGTATATTTTACAGTTAGGAGTTTTCATCATTCAGTACTATATGTTCATAACCTATTATGTGCTATGTATTGTTCTCAGCTCTAAGGATATTGCAATGAATAAAACAGACCAGAGCTTATATTCTAATGGGTGTGGCAGACAGTAGATAAATAAACATTAAAAAAAGGATTGGCAAGCTTTTTCTATAAATAGCCAGATAGTAAACATCTTAGGCTTTGTGGACTATGAATGGGCATGGCTGTGTTACAGTAAAGCTTTATTTACAAAAAGAAGTGATGGGCTAGATTTGGCTCACAGGCTATAATTTACTAAACCCTGGTTTAAAACATCCTAAGACATAGGAAGTATTAACAATTGGTAATTAGTAAGTTGCACTTAGAAGGAGAAAACCAAAATAGCACCTCAAAAATAGCAATTTGAGGGAGTAGCTTTTTGCTTTATTATATAACAAGGTATTAAAGATAGTGGGAGTGTGTAAGAGAAACTGCTACTCTTGAACTACTAGATGTAATCAAGTACTGGATTTAATGCTGTGCATCCATCAGCACTGTCCATCTCCAGTACTTTTTCATCATCCCATACTAAAATTCTGTATCCATTAAATTTCCCATTTCCCCGTCCCCCATCTGCCCACCTTTTAAGTTTAGGGTGACCCAGGTCTCTTTTGTCTGGATTCCCTCTGTTTTGATTATTTTATCCATTCATATGGTGGCCAGATCCTCTATTCAAATTAATCTTATTCATCATGTATATATTCAGTTAATATTTACTGAGAGCCTGGTATGTATCAGACTTTGGGGAAAGGGTAGAGGATACATGATGAGGAAACACTAACACTGTACCTGAACTCATGGAGTTTGTCATTTACTAGGGGAAATGTACTAATACAAAATAATTTTTATAACTGGTGATATGTAATGAAAGAATGGTACCTAGTGCTTTGAGCTTTGAGAAATAGGAATTTTACCTCAGGAAGCAATGTTTGACTTGAGTCCTAAAGATTCAGAAAAATGTGAGTGATTTAAGGGGGAAGGCGGAAGAGGGAGTAACGTATTCCAAGTAGAGAAGACAGCATGTGCAAAGGCTCTGTGGGAGGCCTGTGGGAGAATGTGGGTGGAGTATGGCCCACACTTGAGGACCTGGAACAAGCCAGGGTGGTGACTGGAGAAGACTAAGGAAGGGAGAGATGTGAGGTATGGCCAGAAAGATACGTAGGAGCCAGACTTTGCAAAGCCTTATAGATTATGTTAAAGGTTTTGGACTTTATTCTAAAAGCAATAGAAAGATATTGGAGGGTTTTATTCAAGGGTGTGGTGTGTATGGGCAGGAAGATGTGATCAGGTTTGCATTTTGGTTAAGGTCTTGCTTAGCTGTAGTATGGAGAGTAGATTGGAAAGGGCCAAAAGTGAATGAATGTAGGATCCTTTTGAGGGGGGGTTGATAATGACAGCTGAGCAGTGTGTGTTGATGGTAGGGAAGATGAAAAGATGTGGAAGGAAAAATGAACGAACCAGATTTGAGGGAGAAGTTATCAACAGTGATCTAGGTTTCCAGCTTGTGTGACAGGATGAATGTTATTAATCATTCTGAGATAATAAACCCAGGAAGAGAATTCAATGTTAGTGGGAAAATCATGAGTTTGAATTTAGAAATGTTGACTCTGAGGTACACATGCCATACCTATAGGGGAGACATTAAATAGGCAGCACACATGGGACTGAAGTCCAGGAAAACTTAGGACTGGAGATACAAATAATGGGGAGTTTTTGGAATACAGATAATAACTGATGTCATGGGTATGAATGAGATTTTTTAGGAGAAGGAATATGGTATAGAGAAGATAAAAGGGCTGAGGACTTGAAATGCTAGGGATTAAACAAATAACCAAGTAGAAGAGAATAAGCTTAAAAGATCAAAGAGTAAGGGGGAAGAAATTAGCACCCCAGTTTCTGCTCAGGTTGGTATTTCTGAGATCCTGCCACATACTACATACTAAATATGTTTAAAGTGTGGCATCTTGTCTCATGGTGAATATGGACAAAACCACATTGTCCAACTTAAACTACACCATCCAACTAAAGAGAAAAGCTAAACAGAAAACACATGTTCCTTCTCTCTAAAGCACTACTCTGCCCAGTAGGTAAACCAGAAACTTTAGAATCATCTTATTTTGTTTCCTTTAGTAATCCTTCTAGTTTTTAATACTGATTCTTTTTGTTTCCTTATTATATTTGTCTCCTCTACTGCGTAGTTCAGTCTAATTATTCAACATAAAAATGTCCATCAGTTTTCGTCTTTTTTTTTTTTTTTTTTTAAAGATTTTATGTATTTGACAGAGACACAGCGAGAGAGGGAACACAAGCAGGGGGAGTGGGAGAGGGAGAAGCAGGCTTCCCGCGGAGCAGGGAACCCGATGCGAGGCTCGATCCCAGGACCCTGGGATCATAACCTGAGCCGAAGGCAGATGCTTAACGACTGAGCCACCCAGGCGCCCCCATCAGTTTTCTTCTTAAACTGTTTGGATCATGTTACTCTTGCTCAAAATTCACGGATGTGAATAAAGTTCATTCTCCTGAGCATAGTTTCCAGGACTTCCATGACCTAGCCCAGCCATGTTTTCCTGTTTTGTCCCTCAGCTATGTGTTTTACCTTTCTATATTACTCACTCTTTCTTCCTGAGTATACTGTGTATTTTCAAGGCACTGCTTTTGTTCCTATCACAAACACGGATGAAAGCACACACTTTGCTCATTTTCAGTGGTCTGTCAAACTGCTGCTCATCCTCTCAAGACTGCTCCAGTGCCTCATTCCAAAAAGCCTTACCTAGTTTCTCTCAATTGTAAGGAATTACTCTTATCTCAAAAGTTCCACAGCTCTTTGCACCTTTATGATAGTACTCATTTAGTTTTGCCCTGAAGTCATTGTTTTTTTTCTGCCTGCACTACTTGGTTGTAAGCCTCTTGAAAAATAGTGCCATGTCACATTTGTCTATACGTTCTACATATTGCTTTGCCAATGGTCTGAAATATTGAATAAGCTATGGATTTTAGAATAGAATAAAGAAATACTATTTTAAGTATTAATTTTTCATGTATATAATTGCACTCAATATCTTAGTTCTACTTTTATACTGTTTCTATAATTTTATACGCATAGCATAAATTTTTCTTTCCTCTTTTGGCAGAAGTATTCCCCTTGGGTCAGAAAACTGGAGTTCGGGGGGAGGCTTCTTTCTTTTTAAAAAGAGGATTCTCACACGTTTGGCCTTAATCTGGCCTAAGTAGTCAATATTGCTTTATTTTTTTCAAAAATCCAAACTTTGGAAAGACTGTTTTTATTTTTATCTATTTTTTAAATTTTTTTAAAGATTTTTATTTGTCAGAGAGAGAGGGAGGGAGCACAAGCAGGGAGAGCAGGAGAGGGAGAAGCAGGGAGAGCAGGAGAGGGAGAAGCAGGCTCCCCACTGAGCAAGGCGTCCAATGTGGGACTCTGTCCCAGAACTCTGGGATCATGACCTGAGCCAAAGGCAGACGCTTAACCAATTGAGCCACCCAGGCGCCCCTGGAAAGACTGTTTTTAAATCTCATTTTATAGGGTTTTTTTTTTCCTTTTTCTTTGCAATACGTGTTTGTTATAGAAAAATGAGAAAACACAAATATACCTTTTCATTCATTTTATTTTTTAAGGCTTTTCAGGGTTGATACAGTTGGAACAAACTTTCCAACAAGATAGAAGTAAATTAATTTAATGGTTAATAATTTGTTGAGAAGATATTCTTCTTGTGATATTATTTATGTTTGGTGTGGCTACTGTTTTATTTGCATAGCACAATTGAAGATAATGGAAATATATTGTTGGAGTTCTTAATATGTATTATATGTATTTTCTCCTGCTACTGTAAGAATATTTCTGTATTTAAATTGAGATAATGACTTAATGAATTTCCCAATAAGAAAAACTTTTAAGTAAAATGTGAACTTTTCTCAGTTATTAAATTTGATTTCTCCCCTTCTCATTAACACAGCTCTCAAGAGGCAGAATTTATATAATAATCCTTTCAACTCCATGAGTTACGCAAGTCCTTACAGTCCGAATGCAAGTAGCCCATACAGCAGTGGTTTCAATTCTCCATCCTCAACCCCAGTGCGACCTCCTGTAGTCAAACAGCTAATACTTCCTGGAAATTCAGGTAAGGAGAAAATGAAATGGAATAATTAAGGAATTTACTGCCCTACCTCAAAAAAATATGTAATCATCAGTTCAAGTTCTTTTATTTATGAAACTTTTAAGTGGTTAGAGAAAATATCAGTGAAGGGCACCAGGTGCCATTCTAGGCACCAGGGATACAGATAAACCAGGTTACCTCCATAAAGTTTTCTTAAGCATGTACTTAAAAGTTTGTATATATTGCTTGATTAGATTAACAAGCTTTTGATTCTTTTAACCAATAGATGCTTGCTGAATAGCTTGATTGGGTTGTACAAGCTAAAAATAAGAGTTCTTTTTTTAAAATAGCATTTTCCTTTTATTTATTTTTTTTAAGGATTTTATTTATTTGTCAGAGAGAGAGCACACGAGCAGGGGGAAGGGGTAGAGGCAGGGGGAGAAGCAGGCTCCCCACTGAGCAAGGAGCCTGATGCGGGCCTCTGTCCCAAGACCCTGGAATCATGACCTGAACTGAAGACAGCCACTTAACCAACTGAGCCACCTAGGCATCCCTAAAAATAAGAGCTCTTATTTTCACTTATATTGTTAAACAATTTAAGCTTTATTTAATAAGCTTTGATATTGCACTTAACTAATAATATAAGGCCATATGTGAATGTGCCGACAGAGCGGAGCCCTAAATGATAGGGGAGGGATAGACTGCTGTAACTCAGAGAAAGAATGTTTATTGTGGTTCTGACTGAGATGTTACTCTGTAACTTAACTGTTCTTCAGAATTCACTCACTGGTTAACTCTTACTGCTGCTATCTTTATGGCTCATTATTACACCTTCCTTAAAAATTAAGGTTATTGTTAACCACCTCAAATTTTGACCTGTGTATTCCCTAGTCTAATGATTTTTTTGACCCTGCTGTTTGCTTTGTACATAAGTTGTTACTCGCTATTTATTTCACCCATGACTGTATACCAAAAAATATTTGTTTAATATAAAGAATTTTATTTGGGCACTATTTGAGCCTGACCTTGTATTACTTTTGCTATCATATGTACTGTGTTCTTCTTGATAATATAAACATTAACTATTTTGCTTTTCTTACATTCCTTTCATGTTGGAGCTAACTTTTCTCTTTTCAAGTTTTTATTTAAATTCTAGTTAGTTAACATATATGGTAAAGTTGGTTTCAGGTGTAGAATTTAGGGATTCATCAGTTACATATAACACTCAGTGAAAGTTGACTTTTATGGTAAAGAATTCTGGGAAACAAGCATTTCAGATAAATCTGTATTAGAAACATTAGTGACAGTGTTGGGATTTTATGCTTCACCAGAAGTTGATAATCTGATGAAAGCATTTCCTTAGAAATAAGTTAGACTCTTGGTTATGTATATCCTTTATTCCTCTGACCTGTCTTCTATCCCCCTTTTTGTTTTGAGTGATTAAATGCTTTCTTTTAATCTAGTTATTTTCTTTACTCCATCTTTGTGCTTCACTGCTAAACTTCAGAGGACTCTTTGGATCCCCATTACTAGTTTGACAAAGGAATTTTGTAAACATGGCATAATGTAGGAAAAATGAGCCTATGTTCTTTTTTTGGTTTGTTCCTAAATCTCTAAAGAATCTTGATTTTCCTCAAATTATAGTTTTCTTGCTTAGGAAAAGTAGATGCTTTTATTCAGGGAAAAAGATAATGACTAAATTGCTAATGACTAAATTTGAGAGGAGAAAACCCATCATAAATTCATCTGTTTATGAGCAGTTTAACTGGCTATCTTATAAAAGCTGGAATCTTCTAACATGTATTGGACACCACCTACTTGCCAAGCGCTGTGGTAAAAAGCTTAATTGTTTCATAAGAGGATAGATAATTTATAGTTAAAATGAAAATGTTTTTATGTCATAACATATGAAGGAGTCCCTAGAGTCTTCTTTATTCTTTTTTTTTTCTAAGATTTTTTTAAGTAATCTCTTCACCCAACATGGGGCTCAAATTTACAGCTCTGAGATCAAGAGTCACACATTTCACCGCTCAGCCAGCCAGGCACCCCATTCCTCTTTATTCTTAATAAGGTCAATTTTTAATTTCAATATTTGGGAATTTTTTAAACAGAGAAGGCAGAATAATGGTGAACTGAGGCAAAGATTTAGTATCAATTAGAACAGATGTTTATTCAGTTTTTGTTTCACCAAAGTTCAAATCTTTTTTTTTTTTTTTAAGGTAATTTGAAAAGTTCATCAGACAGAAATCCTCCACTCAGCCCTCAGTCCTCTATAGACAGTGAGTTAAGTGCTTCAGAATTAGATGAAGATTCAATTGGATCCAATTATAAGCTAAATGATGTAACTGATGTACAGATTCTAGCTCGGATGCAGGAAGAAAGTAAGTATTTTAATTGTTAAAGTTGAGGTCTAGTTGAGGTATAATTTTGTTGGGGTTATTAAATAGGTCTTAAGATGTTGTGGAATAGTAATAGAAATGTTAAAATTTCAGAGGCTTATTCAACATATAGACTTGCTTGTTCATTAACTTATTTTCAGAATTCATTTTACATAGAAAAGCTTGTTGTGTGAGGAGCAAAGAAAGGCAGGTAATACTCTACTTCAATGACTGGTAACCATACCCTGCATGTTACTTTGCGCAGGAACTCTCTAGAGTAGTTACTACTCTATTACTTTGTGTTTTCTTATTCTAGACCATTGTTTCTCAACCTTTTTCCATTATTAGCCCCCCCAAAGAACCTTTTCAGACATTTTTTTTCCTTTTTTGCCTACCATCTCCCACCATGACATTTTTTTTTTTTTTTTAAGATTTTATTTATTTATTTGACAGAGAGAGACACAGCGAGAGAGGGAACACAAGCAGGGGGAGTGGAAGAGGGAGAAGCAGGCTTCCCGCCGAGCAGGGAGCCCGATGTGGGGCTTGATCCCAGGACTCTGGGATCATGACCTGAGCCGAAGGCAGACGCTTAACGACTGAGCCACCCAGGCGCCCCTCACCATGACATTTTAATATCACAGATATACCCTACATCTCTTTATGTACAATGAAGACCACAAATTATTATGATATCTAAGATTTTTTTCATACCCAAGAACCAGTTATCCCCCCTTCGGGGCATATATCACCACTCTCAGAATATATGGTATAGACTACAAAAAAAAGACCTTTATGAGAAAATTGGAATTAGGACATTAAATGAGGTAAAGCATATGATATTGCTTTGGTTCAGAGTGGTCCTTGCAACTTTTTAGGTCACAGATACCTTTGAGAATCTAATAAAAATTATATCCCTTGCCATCCCCAAAACGCACATATGCACAAAATTTTTCATACTATTTTAAGGGTTCATAGATGCCCTGGCTCTCATTATAAGATGGTGGTGAGGGTATTATTATTGCCTATACATTTCTTTCTTTCTTTTTTTTTAAAGTTGTCAGAGAGAGCACAAGCGGGGGAGCAGCAGGCAAAGCAGGCAGAGGGGGAAGCAGGCTCCCGGCCGAGATGCGGGGCTCGATCCCAGGACCCTGGGACACGACCCGAGCCAAAGGCAAACGCTTAACTGACTGAGCCACCCAGGCATCCATATACATTTCTTTTTAACGCAAATGACAATTCATTCTTATTTATATAGTTGCACTTTTCACATTTGTGTATAAAATATTTGAAAAAATATTTCAGCACACAAAATGTGAGTATATAAAGATGAGGAATGAAAAGAGTAAGTGAAAATAATCAGGCTAAAAAAATCAGTGTCATTCTCAGGAGGTCATAAAAAGATTCTCAACCTGAAGAAACAGGAAAACTTGAACATGTGAAGTACCCTCACCTAATTATAATGATAATAGTACATATTTTTAAAAGGCTTTTAGAAAGGACGGGATTGTTTTATATATTTAGTAAAGTATTATGGTTTGCCTATATACATTTTATTGGACGATACCACAAGCTTAACTGTGAAGTAAGCAGTCTCTAAAGTGACCCCCTTAACCTTTACAATGAAAAGATTCTTGAAGCGCACATTTCAGAGTGTTGAAGTTGGCTGAGGGTAATGGAGCATTGCTATAATTTAGTTGAAATACTTTCTGCTTTAGGCCCTTTTGTATAAATATGGAGTTTTATTAAGCTATAACATTTATTAAGAAACTGCAGAATGTTATTCTGCTGATTCATTTCCCATTTTTACACAACTTCTCATAGAAAAATAGAAAGATTTGGTGCTTGCTTTATCTTAAGCCCTAGAAACTAATAATATGGTACCCTTTTCTTCTGTAATTATGTATAACTCCTCATTGAGACTGTGGTATTGTCAGCTAGTGAGGGACTAGTTTTTGTCAGGGATGTGAAAGAATAAAGAATGCTTCCTCACTATAACTTAGAGTTAATTCTCTCATTTCTTCTTTGAACTCTGACTTTTTAGACCCCAGGATTTTGTTAGAAATGCAACCAGCTATTTGCTGTCACTTTCATACTGTGTTTTGGTAACAAGTAAAAGAAATTTTAGCTTTACTTTATTTTTTTAAAAGATTTTATTTTTGTTTATTAGAGAGAGACCGCAAGCGGGGGGGGGGGCAGAGAGAGAGAGAAGCAGGCTCCCCACTGAGTGGGGAGCCCGATGGAGGGCTCAATCCCAGGACCCTGGGATCATGACCTGAGCCAAAGGCAGACGCTTAACCAACTGAGCCACTCAGGCTCCCCTTAGCCTTACTTTAATCATTCTTTTTAAGCCATCCACATGCACAAATATTTCTTTTTCTAGTGAATTAAAAAAAAAAATGCTAAAAGTATGTCTGATACCTCCTTCAAAATGCCTGTTTTTTTTTTTTAAGTGAATGATATTTGTTCTAAAGTATCATTTCTTCAGTTTTTTGGGGTTTTTTTTGTTTTTTAACAGAAATGTAGAATTACAGATTTTGGCTGTTGCCTGGTTAAGCCCCTTATTTTTAATATGAAAAACAGACAATCCTATAGAGATTGTTGCTTCCTTAGGATCCCTCTAGTACTGGAGGGCCTGCTTTTGGGATCGGTGTTTTTCTTTGTAAAACAGTCCGCTGTCTTTTGTTAGGTGACTTTAATGCCGTGTTTGCTGGAAGGAGACACTATGTAACTTGTCAGTTACTAGTGAAACTTGTAACTTGACTGAAGGACCAGATAGGCCCAAGGAATCCGTAGTTTTACAGATACCCTAGTGTGATTCTCATCCACTACTTTGGGTACCATATCGATAGCACTCTCTGTGTATGAGTACCCATCTTAAAAGTTTGAATACTACTCTATAATAGTAGAGCTTTTTTTTTTTTTTTTTAACATTTTATTTATTTATTTGACAGAGACACAGCGAGAGAGGGAACACAAGCAGGGGGAGCGGGAGAGGGAGAAGCGGGCTTCCCGTGGAGCAGGGAGCCTGATGCGGGGCTCGATCCCAGGACCCTTCGACCATGACCTGAGCCAAAGGCAGATGCTTAGCGACTAAGACACCCAGGCGCCCAGTAATAGAGATCTTTTAAACTAGATTGTCCATAGTTAGCAGGACTTGCTCAAAATATTAGCTAAATTCTGTACTTTTCTTGAATATTAATTTTTTCTTCACTGAATATATATCAATTGTTTTTGTTTTTGTTCCAGAAGTTTTTATACTGTTTGAAGGGCCTAAGGTTCCTTGGGTGTTTCTGGAGGTGTCAAGATACATACGGGACTCCTTTGAAAATTTGTACTTGATGGCTTAGAATTTAAGCTTGTTTTACTAAAGTGTCTTGGATGAAGCAACTGAAATTCATTCATGCCCAAATATTGAATTCCTGAGGGTAGGATAGAAGTTTCCTTCATCAATAACATCAGTTTGAAGAAATTAGTATTCAGGGAGTTTATTTATCCACTGGTGTATTCTTTTCGTTGGTTGCACAGTAATTGTTTTCCCTCAATATTTCTTAAATGTTGATCTCAAATTTCGATTATTGTCTTTAGGAGTAGAAATATTTTTAAGTTTATGGTTTCTCCCTCTACTATAGATTTCAGATTCAAGAAGAAAATGTTGGATTGGGCAAAAGTTTATAGAATTTCATTCAGTTTAAAAATAATCTTTTAAATGTTTTAGGCATCATTATATGGGATGATATCTAAGATGATTCAAGTGGAAAGGGAATTTTCCTTTATACTTTATACCCTGTTTGAATTTCTCAATGATACTCTTTTGTTTTTAAACTTCAAAAATATTTAAATGTTTAAAATACCTAAAGAAATGAAATAACGCATTCATTATTGTCAGGTCTCCGTCAGGAGTATGCAGCCACCACATCTCGGCGCAGTTCTGGTTCATCTTGCAATTCTACAAGACGGGGTACTTTTAGTGATCAGGAACTTGATGCGCAAAGTTTAGATGATGAAGATGACAATATGCATCATGCAGTATACCCTGCTGTTAACAGGTTTTCACCATCACCACGCAATTCACCTCGACCATCACCTAAGCAGTCACCCAGAAATTCACCTCGTTCACGATCTCCTGCTCGGGGAATAGAATATAGTAGAGTGTCCCCACAGCCTATGATTAGCCGCTTACAACAACCTCGCCTTTCACTTCAAGGTCATCCCACAGATTTACAGACAAGCAGTGTCAAAAATGAAGGTAATTAGAATGTTTCTGGAAAAACAGTTGTCCTTCATATTTCAATATGAAAGTAACACAATTCTTACCAAGGTTTTGTATTTCAGATAAGTAGATCAAGAATTTGGTCAGTTTACTAGTGAATCAATACACAAATAAAGGAGAAAGTGAATTATACTTGATTATGTTAGTGTCGCTTTGTCCTCATGAAGTGATCTGTATGTAGGTTTTGATTTAATTAATTTATAGTTCATTTAAAGATTCTCTTCTACCCATTTATAGAACCTGGGTTGAGTTATTTATTTTTATAAGACATGTACTTCCTGTTAACTCTTCTAAAATATGCTGAATGCTTAAATAATTTGATTTGTGAATGCCAATTAATATTTTAACTCTTTCTTCAACTAAAAGAATGGTTTGATTTTTTTTCATTAAATTCTGTTGTTAGAAAAACTGAGACGCAGTCTTCCAAACCTGTCCCGAACATCTAGTACACAAGTTGACTCAGTGAAAAGCAGCAGAAGTGACTCAAATTTTCAAGTGCCAAATGGAGGAATACCTCGCATGCAACCTCAGGCTTCAGCCAGTAAGTATCGTTTATGTATCAGTTATTTAAAGGAAAGTGAAAATTATAGGTAGTAATTTTGTGCTGAATAGCTGTATTAAACCATATCTGTAGTAAAATGCAGTGATTATTCATTGCTATAATAGCTATATTAAAATTCAAATCTTGTTCCTGTAAGATATAAAATTTAAATTTTGTTCCATTTGTGTCAGTACTTATATCTGTATGAAACTTTGGTCTCTCCAGAATTTTAAAATAAGCAAAGTCTACTGGCTAAATATATATGTATGCTCTTAAAAATATACATATATATATGTATATATTCCTTAAAAACCTATACCTTATGTATCTGTATATACATACCTTATGTATACATAGATACAGAGATATATTCCTTAAAAACCTACACATTAAAAATAACAAGATTTTTGTGGGAGATAGTCCTGGAACAGACAACTTAAAACCCAAGCAGCTTTCTTACTAGAACATTAATAAAAAGCAATAATGATCCTGCAAAAAATACTAGCATAATCAAAAACATGTTAAATTTTCAATGACTTAAATAAATACTCCAGCAAATATAGAACTTCACTAAAAAAAAAAAAAAGTTGAAGGTAATTTGATGGAAAGGAAGAGCTGAGTCTGTTGAATGAAGGAGACATATGCAACAGAAACAAAGATGAGAAAGAATCATGAGGAAGGAACTTCTAAGACAGAGTAGCCAAACTGAGCCAAGAAGTGATATGGAAATAGATGGATACTGTGTACTTTAGTGTAAAAGATGATTAAAAAAGAATTGAACACTTTCCAAAGAATATTATTAACTACAGTAGATAAGAGCATGTAATCAAACCAGTTTTAAACAAACTATCACAGTTATTCCTATAATTTTAGAAATGCTCTGTATGCATGTCTTGTATCCAACAGCTCACATCAGTCTTGTGGTCTGATTGACTCAGTTCCTTTGTAGCATTTTATGTCACTGGTTGAAGTGGTGGCTGTGATGTGTTCCTTCATTTCCTCAAGGCTATGAAGAAGTCACACAGACATGAGGTTATTGATTATTTATATAACTTGCTTATTGAATAATACAACTTTGAAAGCATTTGATTATTTTTTAATTCCCTTACACTCTTCCTTGGCTCTGTTGTGTTTATCTGACTTTGTGTATTTTGTGTGAAGCTGCTGTTACTTGATGACTCAAAAATAAACCGGCCCAGGAAAAAATACATTTGAACCCAAATGATTTTTGTGATAACACTGATATATTTTCCTTATTTTCTAGTTGTATATGATATTTATATTACAGAAACTCGCATTTTGCTGTACCATACATACATAATCCTGTTTAATCCTCAGAAAAATTCTAGGAAGTAGGTACAGTTATTAACACATTTTGCAAATTAGGAAATAGGAGCTTTGAATGGTTGAATAACTTATCTTTGATCATATAGCTTATAGGTGGCAAGTTAGGATTCACACCCATATTGATTGTGCTCAAGAATCCAAGTCCACCTAGAGAGATTTGTCACATTTATGGTTTAGAACTAAGATTTAAAAATAATCCAGAAATACTATTTTTTTCCTAAGATGAACCATAAAATTTAAAGCACTGTGGAAAATTATTACATAGAGATTTGTGTACTTCATTTATTCAGCTGGATGTGTGCACATGTTTTTGAACCAAATTAAATTTTAAACTTAGTATTCCAGGTCTTGCAGACTATGTGAGTAATAAGTAAGAGTGCCATTATGATACTCATATGGTGTACTCATAAATGGTATAGAAAATAGGGAATCACAAAACTTTAAAAAGTTACAATTTGAACTCTTAAGTTCTATCAAAATGATAAATGATAACTTTTGTGCCTTTAAGTCTGCAAGTTAATTTGTCCCTTGAGGACAATGTGTTTCTGGTTTTTTTTCCTCCCTTGGTATATTTGCGTGAAACAAAAAGCAATGTACAATGTTAGTAACAACAGGAAAGAAAATTTTATATCATTAAGAAGATTAAGCAATAAAAATCATGCATATTATAAGGTACACTTTTATAGCCTATGCACAGATAATCCAAAACATCATTTGTATTTGTGCTTTTATGCTTAGTTTGAATTGTTAAGTTCGGAATTTCTCAAAACTTTACATGATTATATCTCCAGAGACAGCTTCCCTGCTCTTTGTTAAAACTAGCTATATCTATATTCTCTTTACTTTTATTCAGTAAATTCTCAGTACCAACTCTTTATTCAGGGTTGTTCTCTCATGCCCTCATGTATGTTCTTTGTTTGAACTATTCTAGCACACCTCAAAGCTATATGGAAATAAAAAAAATTCTTCACAAAAATAGAAGAAAATAGAAAAGGTTGAGAACCTAGAATAAAAATGTTAATAAAAAAATATACTGACCATGTCTTAAACTTTGTGATAATTACTTGCCTTCCCCAGTGGTAGAATTACCATTGTAATTACCCGCTGATTCCCTAGAATTTTTTTCTGTAGGTGAATTATTTTTTCTTTTTACCTATAAATTGATAATTAAAATATATAGGGAAAAATAATGAGATTCTGAACACTAATTTACTTTTAAGTAGAAAATATGCATGTAGTTTCATAGTGGTGTATTTCAATACTTGAACAGGTACAAGCAAAAGACAAAGCAAGGTACCATCCTTTTTTTTTTTTTTTAATTGCATATAGTTGTTTTATTTTTATACTTGAAGCTATAATGAAGCTTATTTACAATTAAAATGCCATGCTTATTTTAGTGTAGAATCACATTAGTCAAAAATATTTTTGGAAAATAGTAAATCCAGAATTTTATCAAGTTTAAAACTTGTTTATTTTATAAAAATATTTTAAAGCCTTCTGTTTAAAATTAACATATTTTGTAACTATTATCTATTTTTCTTAATTTTACATATATCTTTGATGAATAGAAATGTATGTATGTGTTCTTTTAATTACTGTGTGTATATATACTGTTTTCATAATAGCCTTTTTATTTTGATATAGAATTATTTATAAATGTTATAATAGCAAGTCTTACACATTTTATACACGAATTAGTATTTTTTATTTTTTGTATAAACCGGTTAGTATAATAGATGTTGCATTTTGTTATCCTTTAAGTTTTTATTTTTCCAGCCCTTAAGTGGTAAAGCTTTGGTTCTTACTTGCTGGTCTGCATGAACCTAACTTTGCAAGGTTGCTGTTATTTCCACTTACGGGACCACTTCTTTTGCCTTCTTATGCCAATCACTGTTTTTATATGCTTATTTGCTATGGCTGCATTATTGTGGATGCTGGCATTCAAATATGAATATTATGAGAGTTCTAATATATTTTAATTTTTATAGCTATTACCAATTTCCAACTTTTATATTTGAAATGTGAATAACTTAAAAAGCTTAAGAAAACCAGAGCATTGGAGAGGTCATGGATATATGTCATTTTCTCAGTTTCTCCATTTAAAGGAAGGAATGTTTGTCAGGAACAGAGTTTTTCAAAAGACTAGCGCCTTGCTAAGACTACTAGAGTAGAGGTTCAGTAGGAAATTTAGTTTTCAGAAAGATACAGGAATTATTGGTTCAGAAATAAGAAAAGGGAGAAAAACCCAAGACAACCTGCTGGTTTAAAAAAATTAAAGTAATACTCAAACTCTGGTTAGTATTTTTAAATGTTTACTTTCACATTAATTACCTCATTTGAACCTCACAACAACCCATTTCTTATTTTTATAGAGGAAGCAGAGATCCATATGTATTATACGTGCAATGGCATATACCTAGAAAAGTGCAAAACCAAACCAAATTACTCCCTCCTCCCCACCCCTCTTTGAGTCCCCTGTTTTCCTCCCAATAATTTTTTTATTACATCATGCTGACCTAACTGCAAATGAGTAGGCATCTTGGAAAATATTCCTGGATGACTCTGTTGGAGCATTATTGAACTATAAATACTTTGTGAATTACCACAGAAGAGTAAAATAATCCAGTGTAATATTTATCCACTTACTTACATTTAGTCAAATGGAAGAATATTTTTATGTAATATTTATCCACTTACTTACATTTAGTCAAATGGAAGAATATTTTTGCGTAGGATACAAAGTATTCCCCCAGAGAAAAGGTATATGGTCAATATTCTACTCCGGACTTCTCACTGAAGAGGGAGTGTCGAAGGCAGTTGTCAGCTTATGCATAACCAGACTGCCCTGAGACTCCTGGGGAAGGAATTCTCATCCAGATTTCGCTGGGAACCAAACATTAAAAGATTACACTTGAATTTTACAAAATTATGAAACATAAATTCAAAGAAATAAGTCATGATAAATCTCTGTAATGGGCTGATGTAAGAATGAATGGAATACTTGTAGAATTTCTTTTTAAGAATGAGTGCAATGATGGGTCAATTATCTAATTACAAAGAGATTTTATAAATGTAGTTTTTCTGACACTTCTGTAAATTTTGATTGAATACATCTGGAATGGGTACCCATCATCTGTATTTTTTAGAAGTGTCTCACCTGATTCTGGGGTATATTCAAGTTTGAGAAACACTAGATTAGACCTCTACTCCAGAGGATCTTGAATACTTAGTTCAGATCTCTGGATTTTATCCAGTGATCAGTCACTCATGTCTCCTTTATTATTCAACAGATATTTATTGGGTATATGTTATGTTCTGGGCACTGGGATTATAAATATAAATGAGACAGCATGTGCCCTTCAATAGCAGGGAGTGATTGGCAGGAACTTCTATGGGAACAGAAGAGAGGCATTAAACTCAGCAATGTGAAGAGGTTTTCAGAAAAGATACTGAAGATATCTCTCCACTAACTCAGGAGGAGATTATGAGACCACATGAAGAAAGACAGGTTTACCTAACAGTGGAATTGGTAATGAAGTCTTAAAAGTAGCACCCTGATTATAGTGGTTTTGTATGACTAGAGTGTAGGGTGCAGTGATGAAGGATGAGAGAGATACATAGGGCACAGATTGGGAGTTTTTTAATATATTAAGGAATTTGGGTTTTATCCTATAAGTGTGGAGAGCCATGGTAGACTTTTAATCAATGTTACTTCTTAGAAAATCCATTCTGGTAGCAATATGAAGAATGGATTAAAGTTGAAGAGAGAGTAGAAGCCATTTAAAAGGCTTTTGTATAATCATGGCAAGAAATGACTATCTGAACAAAGGCACTGGTGCAGGAGGTGATGAGATCTGGATGAATTTTTAGAAATGAAGTAGAAGATATGTGACTGGGTAACACCCGAGAAGATGGGAGGTGGAGAGAAAGAGGATTGAAAGGTGACTCAGAATTTGTAGCAATGAAAGTTTCAAAACAAAATGTCATTGCAGAGTTAGGGGGAACGGGACATTTTACTTAGCAGTAATTAACATTCTTTTATAGTGGTTTATGCTTACTTAGTATTTGGGACCTGGAGATTATTTTTAACATCTCCCCATATGACAAAATTATGTTCAATAATAATGAAATAGAATGAGTTATAATAATAATGGCTGGAGAAAATGCAGACAATGAGAAATATTCTTTTATTGAGCATTATTTTATAACTCAGTAAAAAAATAATATCAACATTATAGTACAAAAAAGAAATACTTTTAAATCATTTTTTATAAAAAAGGAAAATATGTTTTTACATATTGGTTTGTCACAGTAATGAATATTATAGCTTTAGTTTCTGGAAATTTGTCAATAACTTCTTCAGAATTGATCTTTGCATATTGAAGCTCAAGACACAGTATAGCCAGATTTATCAATTTCTCTTCAGTCATGTTGATTGAAGAATAGTCTTCAATTTTTAAATCTGAAAAGGTTTTTTTTTTCCCCCACAAAGCAGCTTTTATACAAGTAAGGAAATATTCAACATAATGATAAGTTTGGCAGAAATTAATAAAATTCCATTTTACAGGATATTTCAGAAATTGCCATCTTATCCATATCTTAGTTCCTTTGGGGATCAAATCTAATGATTTTTAAATGTCTTCACAGCTGAAAAAATTTAATACTCAGTCACATATAATTACAATTGAAGTAACTCACATTCTGTTTCATTGACTTTATAATCACTGTACCATCATTGTTTATTTCTAAGCTGTGTAAATATAGGAATATATTATTATACCATAGGGGTTGGAGGCATATAGTGTGCTAAGCTTGATTTCACATCTCTATGAACTCTGGAAAGAAATGTGTAGCTGAATCCCCCTATGTTAGGGGAGACCATATGACTGGGAGTTCTCCTGATGATTTTTCATGTGAAATGCAATGTACTTTAAAAGATAAGTATTAAAACATGTTCATTTAAATCTTTCATATATGCTATTAAGAGGCAACAGTACCTGCAGCAGTTGTTTATAACTTAGGCTGACAAACTGTTTTCTTCAGGGAGGAGCATTTTATCGCCAACATTGATTATTAATCCAGGACATGATGATAATAAAAAAAACAGACCAAGCTGGTTTTATTTTTGTTCTGAATTCCTTACAGACCATTCACTCACTTACTGCCTGCACTGGACTGGGAGGGGGAGGTACTGGGTGGGGGGACCGCACTTCCACTAGCCTTCCCCTGATGCACATGAATAAAGTGGAAGGATTGGATGTAGGAAAACCCAAAAGGACACTGTTCTAATCCAAAAATAGGGTGATGAAGGTCTGAATTAGGTATTTAGGAAACAGTAGGGATGTAAAGGAAGAGATCAACATAACTGCAGGGATGACTAAATGGAATTAAAGAAAACTTTGAGCCAGAATGACTTGGAAAATGGTGGTGTATGTTTAACAAAAATACAGAGGCATTTGGGATTGGTTTATGGAGGAAGACAGTAACCTAAATAATGGTAGCATGAGAGAATAATATTTTTATTGTACCATCTTTGCTTTTCATGGTGGGGTCTTGCTAATTTGGAATTATGTAAATATTAAGAGAGAAACCAGGGAAACCATGAGTATTTTTAAACAGCTAACACACTGAATTCTATTATTGTAGAAAAATTTGGAGACTTTCCGTTTACTACACTTTATCATTTAAAAAATGATACAGTCTTTAGAAGACTCATCAAATTAAGAGTGATAATTCAGATAAAAATTTAGTTTTCTTATTTGAGTAATACACCAATATGTTGTAGCTTATGAAAATCACTAATTTCATTCTGACAGATTTATCAGATTTGTTGTATTAGACAAATTTAGTGTATACTGCCTGATTCTATTTGCAGTCTGATTCTTCAGATTACCATTGCATAGATTTTACTTGTTATGGATGCTTTTGTTGTGACCCATGAAACTTGAGCGAGAAAGTTTGGAGTTATCATAGCTATTAATTTAAATAGGACCTTTCCAAAACAGATTATAGATGATATTTGATGTTAGGCCCTCACTAAAAAAAATTTTAATGGTTAATAGGTATTGTGGATTGCCAGCATACATACAGATAGTTACCTTTTGCCCTCATTTCTCTATTCCAATCATAGTGGCCTATTTCCTGTTCTTCAGATATAGTAGGCACACTCTTACCCCAGGTCCTCTACCATTGCTTTTCTGTCTGTCTACAGTGCTTTCCCCAGATATCTGTATGGCTTACTTCCTCTCTTCCTTCAGATCTTTGCGCAAATGATCTTTGTCATCTCAGGGAAATCTTTCCTGATCACCCTATTTATAATTGCAATTTAAATCTCCCCATTTCCTGTCTCCCTTCCCTACTTAGTTTTCTCCTTAGCAGCTATCACTGACTATTTGACTCTTTTATTTCCCCTTTCCTTTCAGAATGTTAGTTCCATGAAAGTAGGAATTTTATCCACCTAGTTGGCTACTGAACAAATCCACTATACCTAAAACCTGAAATAAAGTAGATAATTAACTATTTGAAAGAATGAGAAAAAGCAGCAGTGAATGAGTAAATGAATGACACTGTGAATGGTTGAAAGCATGTATGAATAAATATGCAAATGGAGAATATTCAGTGATGATAGGATCCTATATTTCTGTGGGATAGGTATGAGGTAATTATAAAATTGATTTTTTTTTTTTAGGTTTGAAGAAGTTTTTAGTAGTCTTCCTGGCAATATTTAAGCTGAATTGGTATATATTTGGCTACGTAATGTGTGGAGTAAAATTGGAAGTCAAATACATTTATTACTCTTTAAAAATATTTACTATCAGACAGTGAGGAAACAATAGTTTTTTAAAAGCATTGATATAGTTAAGCAATAGGGCAAAAGAGAAAGTCTCCTTAATTCTCTTTGATGATATTATCAAGTATTCCTTTGTCAATCCGATAATTGTTTAAATGCTGGCCAGATTTATGGTTGTCGGATCTCTCTCTCTCTCTCTCTCTCTCTCTTTCACATATAAATCCTAGAAGTCCAACTTCTCAAACAGTAGAGTGACATTTTAGAACCGCTTAAATAGGTGACTATACAGGTAGGTGTGGGTCTTTTCAGTTCAGTGAAACTATAGTGAGCTTTAACTCTGGATGGCTCTGAGCTGCTGCTTACATGCCAGTTCTGAGAGTTTCGTTGCAGTTAATAGAGTAGGAGTTTTGAAGAAAGCTTAAAACTCCTCATTGATCACTTTAAGAAGCAGATGCTCTGACCCCTCCAACCCTGTCAACCCCAACATACAGTGTGCACCCCCACACACACACCCCCATCCACCACATATAATATGTGCACAGCACAGATATATTGCTACCCAAAGTCTAAAGTACAAATTAGTTTTATGCTACAGCAAGATGATGTTGAATATATTAAAGCCACTGGGTTTTTACTCCCTTGAGGACCTGCCTGGTTCTGAGTTTTCTTCTCCTTTTTGAGTATGGGGATTACTGTTCTATGTTAGGGCAATTCATCTAACAATAACTGCTTTGCCAAAGTCTGCTTTTTTGCATTGAACAAGTACTACTTTTATTTTATTCTATACTGTGTGCTTGTGTTCATCACTTTTACTTACTTAGCTTTATATTCTTTGCATCCTGTAGCATGTTTGCCGGTGGTTTGTTTTCTCTTTGATATTTTGATTAGTTTACATATTGTAGATTTTCTCATCTATAAGAAACTATTTCTGAAAGTATGCACTTTGCACTAAGATTTCCATCCCTTTTCCTTTCCGACTTAATGCACTAAGCATCACTTTCAGATTCCTCTGCTTCTAGGTTTCTAACATATTTTCGCCTTATGGTTTCTGTTCCTTGATAAATTTTCAAGTATGTATTAAAATATTCAAGTTTACAGAAGCTATAGCCTTTATCTTGTCCTTCCAGGCAAATATTACAGTTCCTTATTTTTCAACAGCTTCGCAAAGGCTGAAAAATTTGCCTCGTACTTCCCTCAAAGCCAAACAGTTGCTTCCAACTTCATCTACAAAAAGAGGTAACTACAGCCTCTTACTAAGTTTTAAATTTCAGCAAATAATCTGATAGTTAAATCTCATACCTTTTGGTACACTGAGTCATTGATGTCTGTAGGGCATGTTTTAGTCTTTTTTATTTTTTTACATAAAGTAATGTGGATTCATTCTCTCTTATTTGGATAAATCCGGAAGAAACTTATTTTCTGCAGAGGTATGTATTGGATTGCTCTTCTGAAAGGAATAAGTGATATGTAGCATTTTCTATTAGAGAATTTATCATTTTTCTTACCAACCTAAAACTGAAGGTCATTGTTTTAACTTAATGTAGGTGAATGTAGTGCTTTAAAATGAACCAAATGCCAGACATTTTGTATGTAAATTTTTTTCTTCTGACTTTTGAGTTTTGGATTTACTTATCTGTAGGATGAAATGGGAATGCTTTCATGTTAGAAGTTGATAAACATTAAATCACAAGTTGTGGTTAACTGGTAATGTTTAGACTATTTAAGGGAATGGTATCTTTTTTAAGACCTGAGAGTTGAAGTATTTGGAGGTTGGACACCAAAGCTATCATACTGGTTTGAAGAGATTGGATGTATGAGCAGCTAGAAAGAAGTAGAATTGGGGAAAATACCATGCAATTGGGTAGGACCAGCAGTAATAAGAATGAATAGAAGCCTCAGAGGAAGTGGGACATAACAAATATAAGCAATGAAGAAAAATATTTCCCCTGTCCAGGACATGTAGATTTCCTGACGGTTCCAGAACTCAGTAAATAACAAAGATATATGAGGAGGATAAAGTATTAAAGGACATTATGTGGGAAGAGGAGGTTTGAGATTTGATTGTCAAAGAAGAAGATTTGGTTAATATGGGTACAAAAGCACTGAAATACGTATTTTAGCAAGTTCATTAATGTGTAAATGTTTTAGCAATGATTTGGTGGGTTAAATATGATTTAAAGAAATAGTTTTAGATAATAGAATCTGAAGGAAAGAGAATAGTCAAATGGAAATGTTGGATGTGTAAATGTTTGTGTTTTGAATACCAGAAGTTGATCATAGCCCTCCAATACAAATGTCTTTTGGTGCTACTGTCCGAAATAAGAATGGATAGGGGTGCCTAGGTGGCTCAGTTGGTTAGGTGTCTGCCTTTGGCTCTAGTCATGTTCTTGGAGTCCTGGGATCGAGCCCTGAGCCCTGTGTTGGGCTCCCTGCTCAGTGGGGAGTCTGCTTCTTCCTCTCCTTCTGTGCGCCCCCCCAGTAACTCCATAAAATCTTTAAAAAAAAAAGACTGGATAGTATATGTTCTTTTGTTAGAGAAGAAGGTGATTTATTAGGAATTATTATAGAAAGGGTCCTTATAGAAATTATTTGAGGACCATAGGCTTCTTTTTTTTTTTTTTTTTTTGAGACTTCTAGATATTTTTTGAGTACTTGATGAGAGGTAGTAAAAACAGGAACATGAAGAGATTGTGGTGTCTAAAACAGGGCAAGAAATTACTGTATCATAATAAAACATAGGATTTTAAGTTTATATAAATTTGTATGTCTCTCTAAGCTGCTTCATAATTTTGGGGGGGTCAGGTAGGTTTAAATAATTTTAAATATTTACTTAAGGATTTTTTGCTCTTTATTAGGTTAAGAAGATATAACTTCTGGCTGGTTGTTTTTTTTTGTTTTGGGGCTCTTTTGGTTTTTTGCCTATGGAAGTTACATATTTTTGTGATTGAGCCACCAAACTCCCACTTTCTGTGATAAAATGACAGGAAAACCCAATCTTATAATTCCTGGTACCTCTAGTTGTCCAGTTGACTTAGTAAAGGGAAAGAAGTTTGTATGTTTGTGTGTTGGGTTTTGTTGTTTTGTTTCTTTTTGTTTAATCTCTTATTTAACTTAATCCAGACTCATATTTTTTTGATTGGTATTGTAGTTTGGGGATGATCATTTTACACTACTAGAAGTTCTGAACCAAAATAAAAAAAAAATTCTGAACCAATTGAAAAATGGGCACAGATATACAATAGGATTTCAAATAATTAGGTTAGGGGTACCTGACTGGCTCAGTCAGTAGAGCATGTGATTTTTTTTTTTTTTTTTAGATTTTATTTATTTTTTTTGACAGACACAGCGAGAAAAGGAACACAAGCAGGGGGAGTGGGAGAGGGAGAACAGGCTTCCTGCAGAGCAGGGAGCCCGATGCAGGGCTGGATCCCAGGACCCTGGGATCATGACCTGAGCCGAAGGCAGATGCTTAACGACTGAGTCACCCAGGCGCCCCAGAGCATGTGATTCTTAATCTTGGGGTGTTGAGTTCTAGCCCCATGTTCATCATCAAGCCTACTTAAAAAAAAATAAAAATAAAATATTAGGTTAATTACTGGTAAAGTTGAACCCGAGAATATGTCTTGGATCCAAGGCCAAATGGATTTTCTAATTTCCCTTCATATCTAGACTTTGAAAGAGAGGGGTCTGCACTGGACTGGGGGATTCTCTGTTCTTGTTAGGGATGTGAGGCAGATGAGATTCAGATACCATGTGTTCATAGGTACCTTTGGCACTTTAAACCTGGACTAGAGAAACATGGGACTGGATAGTAAATTGTCACATAAATCAGTTGTCCCATCCTGGGGATGAACCTGTAACATCTTAGAAAGTTGGCGTACTTATTTTAAGGACTCAAAGGATCATGGGAAGAGGGAGAAGGTCGTTCCCTTAACAATTGGAAATAGGACACTATGATTTTATTTTATTTTATTTTTTTAGAGAGAGCGCATGAGCGGGGGGTGGGGTGCAGAGGGAGAGAAAAAATCTTACGCAGGCTCCATGCTGAGCATCCACTCGATCTCATGACCCTGATCTTGTGACTTGAGCCAAAATTAAGAGTCAGGTGCTTAACCACTCAGGCACCCCAGTCACTTGGATTTTAATTGCATTTAGTAGTAGCTGGAGTTTGAAGATAGGAAGGGAAGTAAGAACTGTGTTGCCTGGCACAAAGGGACACACCGTAAACATCTGTGGAATGAACACAGTCATGCCACTAACTCAAGGCTGGACACATTCCTCTTTGCATTTTCTTCTTGCAGGGTTTTTTGTTTGTTTGTTTCTTTAGCCCATCCTTCTCTTTGAAGAAAAAAAAAATCCATTGTGTATTGTTAAGGCTTCGTTCATGGGCTTGACTACTTAAACTGCTCTGACAAAGAGATATTCATTCCTATTTGTTGGGAACTCAGTGAAGGGGAGGTAAACAAAGTAGAGACCTCATCAAGTCAGGGAAAAAATAACTACTTAGAAAAAGTGAATGTGTAGATCAGGACAAATTAAAATGTAGAAACATACTTTAGAAGGAAAGAGGCAGCACCTTAGGACGAGTTAGCAGTGGTAGTTTTCCAGTACTGCTTTAATTCATTATATTTTGAATATTCATATAAGGTGAGATAAACAACATTTATAAGAGGCCGAATTGATAGGAGTTTAAAATGCTGTTTGATATCAGACTATCTGAAAATGGAGTACCTAGGAATTTTGCCATTACCTTTAATCCAAAATTTAAAATTTCTTATATTTGCTTTTCATTAACAAGTATTTATTGAATCTGTATCATAAACAAGATACACTCATTACACGCCACCCCCTCCCCCCATGTCTAGTTCCTCTTTACTTTTTCTATTATAGTTGTGGTCAAAGCCAGCCTCTGCCGTATGGAGTTTTTTTTTTTTTAAAGATTTTATTTATTTATTTGACAGAGAGAGACACAGCGAGAGAGGGAACACAAGCAGGGGGAGTGGGAGAGGGAGAAGCAGGCTCCCCTCAGAGCAGGGAGCCCGATGCGGGACTCGATCCCGGGACTCCAGGATCATGACCTGAGCTGAAGGCAGTCGCTTAACCAACTGAGCCACCCAGGCGCCCCCGTATGGAGTTTTTAGATACAGTTAAAATGATAGGAATTGCTCCCTTTCCCATGATTTTATTATATAAAATTGAGAGAATGGGAAAGGAGAGGGAACAGGGCTCTCTCCGAACACACAAATTCCTGTTAGCCATTTCATGCTATTTTTGGAATGATAATTGAATAGATTCTACTTACATTTAGAGTTAATAAGTCTTTTGTGATTTTCCAAGATCTTTTTTCTTCTTTAGTTACATCTTGACTACATCTATTAATTTCTCTTGCAGATAAAGTCCTAGATCAAAATTTTCTCCTCTCTGAAAATTGTGCTTTTATTTTTCTGATTAAAAACTATCTGCATTTTAGAAAATTAAAGTTAGAGCTAGAATGCCTTCAAAGATCACCTAATTTCAGTTAACCTCATTTTATTCTTTTTCCTTCCCAAGTTTATACATAAGGCATAAATGCTGCTACCATTAGAGGAAACACTTTTTATAATAGTAAAACTATAGCTTAGTGCACTTTACATTCTGGTTTTCCCTCAAGTTATACATTAACCTTGTTAAAATTTTTTTTTTTTTTTTAAGATTTTATTTATTTAGGGGCGCCTGGGTGGCTCAGATGGCTAAGCGTCTGCCTTCGGCTCAGGTCATGATCCCAGGGTCCTGGGATCGAGCCCCACATCGGGCTCCCTGCTCAGCGGGGAGTCTGCTTCTCCTCCTCCCTGTGCTTCTCCCCCTGCTCATTCTCTCTCTCTCTCTCTGTCTATCTCTGTGTCTCGAATGAATAAATAAAAATATCTTTAAAAAAAAAAAAGATTTATTTATTTGACCGAGAGAGATACAGCAAGAGCGGGAACACAGCAGGGGGAGTGGGAGAGGGAGAAGCAGGCTCCCCGCCGAGCAGGGAGCCCCATGGCTCAGATCATGACCTGAGCCAAAGGCAGACACTTAACGACTGAGCCACCCAGGTGCCCCAACCTTGTTAAAATATTTCTTTCCATATTCCGAGATTGTAGAACTTTTCGACTTGTCCTTTCATATACTCTAGTGCATTTTTCTAAGAATTTAGGATTAATAAATTTAAAAGGATTTCTAATTTATAAATCTGTTTAAACTTTGTTATTTTAAAA